TTTCATATGACAAATCTTATGAAATTGGAATTAAAATCTTTTGAAATAATCATTTTCGATAGAAGTACCTTTATATTTTTTTTATAAAAAGTAATAAAATATATTAATTAGTGTATCAAATATATATAATTTAGTAGTTAAAAAACTAAATCATGCACTGTATAAAAGTTAATTGTACTTTATAAAAAATATTTTGGAATTATTGCCTAAATTATGTAATACAATATGGATAACTTTGTGCATTCTTTTTATTTAATAACATGTAGTCGTAGTATATTGTTTAAATATTAAAATAAAAAGTACTGTATATTTTTATATGAATTTTTAGTCAAGTTGATATTTTGATTTCAGCTTGTATATCAAGTAGACCTGGACAGTGTGGACGAGCAGATGGTTATATGTTGGAGGGAAAAGAACTTGAATTTTATATGAGAAAAATTAAAAGCAAAAAAGCTAAATAAATATTTTAATAAATAATAATTTAGATTTTTATGTATATTTGTTCTCAATGTACATTCTCTTATCAATTTCGATGATTTTTAAATGTGTACATCGATATTTTCGAACAATTCTTTTCTACAACAGGATGTCGATTTCTATAATATATTTCAGGATTGTTAAAGTCAGTAAGGATGTGATTAATCTATAAATTTACCGGCAATCAGAAAGAGGCAAGTGGAGGGAAAAAAATAAGGAATCTTAAAATCATATAACAACTTAGCGCTAAAATGTATCATTAAAATTTATTATTGTCATTCTGATTTTATATCATTTTCTCGTACAACAAATTATTTTGATTTCTTTTTACATAGAAAACATAAGGAGAAATAAGAACTTATTAAGTACTATCTACCAGTGATATGTGACTCCATAATAATTTATTAATTCATAACATAATTTCTAACTATTTATAACAACAAATAATGTCGTTTATCTATACACAAATAATATTATACTAATATAATAAAAGAAAACAAGTGTATATTTTTTATTTAAGAAAATGAATTTGACTTCGAAATTTTGAAATGGATGATCTGCAAAAAATAATTTACATCAAACAATCTGTCTATATTTTTTGATTTTAATCCTCATCATTAGTAGACGCGAAATTTACTTAAATTGGTATGACGGAATGTGATGTGAAAATGGTAGTGGTATTTTAAGACTGCACGAATGTGGAATAAAAGAATATATTGTATGTAAGTTTAGCCATATATCTCGTTTATACTAAATATATATCAAATATATCTGTTGTAACAAATTACAAAAAATGTAAGATTGATTTTTTCCAAGTTGGTGCTCAGATTCTGAACATGAAGATCAATTTAAGATCTATATTGTACTTAGTTCATGACTGTACTTCATACATAACCTCTCATAGAAGTAGATAAAAATATGAATAAAAAATGGACGTGCTTGCAAATTTGATTTTCGTGAAACATTTTCGTGAATATTTTTGTAAGTTATTAATATGAATTATTGTTTACCTAAGTTTTAAGAATTTTGAAGAATAGCAGAGGATTTTTAAGATTTTTAAACATTTCAGATAGTGTCCCATTGTTGTGGTAAATTCAAAATAAATATTTTATACAGTTTTGATTTTAAATGTGCAGTAGTCCAATAAATTTCTAAAAAAATGTACAAAAGATTGAAAGAAGTTAGCAAACTTCAAAGAATTAGTCCCAAATATATATCTATGAGAGAATACACTCAAAAGGTTAATTTTAATTGTATGAAAAATTTGATAATATATATTTCATATACATCATAAAATTAATTATAGATTTCTGAAAATAATTATCCAAAGAGAATATTTTCTGGAATTCAGCCAACTGGAAACTTGCATTTAGGAAATTATCTTGGAGCTGTACAAAAATGGATACAATTACAAGATAATGGAGAAGATGTTATTTGGTGCATTGTTGATATGCATTCCATTACTTTACCACATGTAAAAATTCATTGACTTTACTATTTATTATATTTAATAGAGATATAGTATCTATTGTATTCATTAGATAATAGATATATTTTTTATTACATTTGTTAATAAAAAAATAAAATTTAAGAATATACCATACTTTATGTATTTGTCTAAAATTTTTTCATTGAAAAGAAAAATTAAGAAACATAGATGTATTTAAAAATTAGAGATATAAACTAGTTGAAAATAAACATTATAGGATCCAAAAGAGTTAAGTGATAATATACTTAAAATGACAGCAACGTTATTAGCATGTGGTATTGATCCAAAAAAGAGCATATTATTTCAACAATCTACTGTAGATACACATGCACAATTATGTTGGATTTTGGGATGCTTAACAGCTTTTACTAGGCTTGCTCGTCTACCTCAATTCAAGGAAAAAAGTGAGGCTTTAAAAAGTATTCCTTTGAGTTTATATATTTATCCTGTTTTACAAGCTGCTGACATATTGTTGTACAAGTATGTATTTTATGTGTATTATTAATATCTCAGGATTTTTGAAATTATAATTGAGATGCAATGCATATTACAGAGCAACGGATGTACCTGTTGGACAAGATCAAGTTCAACATATTCAATTAGCTCAAGAATTAGCTATTAAATTCAATAAAAAATTTGGAAATACCTTTCCTGTACCTCATTCTTTAATTAACGGTAAAAATTTTATTTCCATCTTACTTAAAGATAAATATATAAACGAAATATTTTATAATTAATAGAGCATGTGTATTGTAGAAAATGCAAGTCAACGTATAAAATCACTTCGTGATCCTTCAAAAAAAATGTCAAAGTCTGATCAAACTTCGAAGAGCAGATTAGATATATTAGATAAACCAGAAATATTAATAGAGAAAGTAAAAAAGGCTGTTACGGATTTTACGTCGAAAGTAACTTATGAACCAGAAGAACGACCTGGTGTTTCAAATTTGGTTACTATCCATTCAATGCTTACTGGAAAATCACCAGATCAAATATGTTCTGAAGTAGAAGGACTAGATACTGGGAAGTATGTATATTAAAGATTTTTCTTTACTTACTGATGTATTTAAATTGTTGTTTATTTATTTATGTATTACAGATATAAATTAGTACTAGCGGATGTAATTGTAGAAAAATTGACTCCAATTCGTGAAGAGTTCTCAAGATTAATTAAGGAACCAGCTTATTTGCAAGAGGTTTTGAGAAATGGTACAGAAAGAGCAACAGAAATAGCTAGTGATTCTTGGTGTGAAGTTAGGAATAAAATTGGTTTTGAAAATGATATCTTTCATGTAAATAAATCAATACGAAATATAATATAAAGTGAATATTTATTTAAAAATAAAATGTATACTTATTTAATTATTACTATTATTAATAATTTTGTGTATATAAATGATATTATCTCATATCAATAACTAATTTACCTCGTAGATGGCCTTGAGTCACTCTATCATAAGCTAATGGTAAATCTTGAAATTGATATACTTTTTTAACTACTGGAACCACCTGAGCAAAGTAAAAAGTTATTATGCATAATATTGTTATGATAAATTAAAATTAACAGTTACCACGATTTTTCAGATACTTTACCTAATTTAAAAATGACTAAACATTTATTTTTTAAAAAAATTACCATAATTTTATTAAATAACATTACATGACTTTTTTAATACATGATTGTTGACGATATCTTAAGAAATTTAGCTTTATATGTAATAAATTTCCTTGTTAGCAAATAAATTAAATATGAAAGTATCTAATTTTATCGAATTACGAGGAAGATTTGAAAAACCACGATAACTGTTACAATATCATACTTATTACCTTTCCATTTTCAACAAATTCTTTAAGCGTCCTAATCCCTGTTTCAGAAGGTGTAAAAAATCCCCATTTCACTGTACTTTTATTTTCAGTAATTGGGATGTTATATTTTAATAACTCTCCTATATTTTTTACGGTACCCACAATCAATCCATGTTGATCAGTATTTTTTAATAATGGAGAATTTAAAGTTATATAAGTATTATGGGGATAACTCTTTAATCGTATTTGATCTGGTCCTTGATTGGCGCAATCCAAAATTATATTATACCTAAGTTAAAAATTAATAAAATTTATGTCAGAGACATTCTTATTTTATTGGAATAAATTCAATGAATAAATTAATAAATTACATACGGTCCCTCTGCAATAATTTTTGAATCTGCATCATTTAATTTATGATCAATTACAACATCAGCTCCAAGCCTTTGTACCAAATTTACAGCATCGCTACTGCATGTAGTAATGACCTAAATTATTTTGATTTATATTTTATAATATATAGAAATAATAAGTCTTATTGGTATCACAGATGGCAATATCAATTGATATTACATGCATGTTCCAAGCCTTTAAAAGTTGGATTGCAATAGTTCCTACACCTCCAGAACCACCTAATACTAAAACTTTATTATTTCTTCTTGAAGTCACTGTATTTTTACAAGACAATGCACCAGTAATCCATAATGCAGACCATGCTGTAAGCCCAGCATACAATATACTGGCTGCCTCAATGTATGATAAATTTCTAGGTTGTAGACTGATCTGCAAATGAAAATTTATAATTCATTCAATCTTTTCTAAATGAAATTGTACTTATTCAATTAATAATTTTATTTACCAATGTATGATCAACAACTACATAACCAGCATGACAACCTTGTTGTTCTACTGGAACTACACCCCATACTTCATCACCTAATTGTAATCTACTTCCGACACCATGTCCTTTTGAAACTATTATGCCAGAAAAATCTCTACCTAAAGTTAATGGCAATTCCAATTCATCATATTGTCCACTGGTAAGATTTTTTGTTTTTCTCATTAAATTTAAAATTACCGCACCATATCCTCCTAATGCAAAACATTTAAGTATGATGTTAAATGTTTGTTGTTCAAGCTGTAAGAAATAGATAATTAGTATAACATAATTCGTACTTGTCATGGCTATATCTATGGGGTTTACGCTAGATGCTTCAACTTTGACAAGAACATCCGTTGGTTTGGTAATTGCTGGAATTCTAACATTTGAAAGTTTTAATTCTTCCAAACCACCATACGAGTGAATTTGCCAAGCTTGCATTTTGTCTTCAATATTTTCTTTATATTTGGCTAATACATTACTAAGAAAACGCGATTGTATATTTACAATATTTGATTTAAAATTTAATATTACTTTTTTTAACATTGTTCCAAATTAATTTTAATTAATATTTAATATATCAAACAATATAAGTTTGCAAAATAGGTTAAGGGCAAAATTCTGTTACTTGATTTGTAGCAGTATTAGAAAACTTTCTTTTTAAATTTAACAATTTAAATTTATGTATGACATTGAAAAAATTGATATTGTAGTAAATTTGACTGAAGTATTTGTTTCATGATAAGGTTGCCTTACATTAATTTCTCGCTGTAGGTGACCAACTAATATGAATTGAAAGTTCATATCGTATATCATTTTTTATTTTTTCTTTTTATATCGTGATATATGTATGTATTTGAATATACATATATATGTGTAAAATATATCACACACACACACACACACACACACACACATATATAATTATGTATATTAATAATCTCTTATTTAAATATTTCTGCTATTGTTATCTATTAAATTGAAATATACCGCGCTTAGAAATTCTATTGTAGTTTCCTGTCGACAAAAGACTGTTTTGAACGTTGTTAGTTATCGAAAGTAACAAGTTTAAATAATACATACATGCACCAATACTTTTTTTTTCCTTTTTCTTAACTATGCTATTTCATTTGTTTACGTATTCAAAATTACGTATCTATTAACAATTTTATTATGTAATTAATATGTATTTAATATATAATCTATTATATTGGAAAATAAAATTTTATAGAGAAGAAGTGAATGAAAGATAAAGATACTGACTGTTTATATATAGTGCAACATTATTTTTCATCTTAACTTTAAATATTATATACAAATATAACAAAGATTAAAAGAGTATCTTGTTCATGTTATTATTATTATTAAACATGTATATTACAATGAAATTATATATTCAAAGATGCTGTATCATTCATGTTTCAAAGATTCTATATACACATAATTAAGTTGTATGAAAACGTAAGAAAAAAATTTACATACTATATCTTAAACTCTTTAATATTTGTAATTATTGAAACACATTCAATTAATCGGCGATTATTCGAGCATGTACAAAGTAAAAATTATGTTACATATGTATAGATAATCGAAGATGCGGTTTCGTTAATCTTTGGTGGTATTGTTTGGTGGTAATGAATCATATAGTATGAGAGAGTGAAACGAGGGTGGTCCTTTCGTTTTATGAGTAAATTTGACAATGCGCATGCCTGTTATCGATCGCTAATCACTATGGTTACGCCTCGGGATAGAGGTACGACAGCCGACTACGACGGTGACGACGACGGCGACGACGACGACGACGACGACGACGGCGACAACGACGGTGACAGCGATCACCCTACATTTGTTTCACGGTGAGTTTAATGAAAAATTGAATAGCTGATTGCTAGCATAGTCAATTTGTATGCAAAAGCGAGTAAAAGTGACGAAAGTGAAGATTTTGAAAAACCGAGGAGTGCATAATGATAGATAATTAAGTGGAAAGAAAAAGCCAGAAGTAAGGTGCAAATTTTTCAAATTTTAGTAAAAAAAAAAAAAAACATTTTGATCTTTGTGCGTGACATGTCTGTTTACCTTACCCGATAGAATTATTAAAGTGAGGAGATACGCAACTGACAAACAGA